CACAGCCCATGGGCCGGCCGCTCAGGGCTGCAGGCTCCTTAGACAGACAGAGAACTCACTGGGCCCAATGGTTCAGCACCTGGGGAGTAGGCGAGCATCAGGGGCTAGCAGTGGCCATGGAGCAGAGCAGGGACCAAGGAATGCTGGTGTTGGATTCAAACGCTGCCTCTACCTCTGCCTGTGCCTTGTTGTGTCCCTGGGACGAGTCACTTCCAGCCTCTGTTTCCTCACCTGGGAAGGAGACACGAAAACGGCCACCTGGCTACAATGCTTAGAGAGTTCAAACCAGGCAAGGCCCCATGTGAAGACAGGCGTGTGAGACATCTCAGGAAATGTGTTGATGGTCAAAGTGACAAAAGCAGCTGTGGGCTTAGAGGGACCCAGGTAGAGAATGGACAACACTGCCGATGGTGCCTTACCCTGAAGATTCCTTCATTACAGCTCTGGGCACAGACAGATGGCACTGGCCTGAGGGACAGGGATCCATGACTGTCATTACTAGTGACTGAGCTTAAACACACCTGCAAGAGGAACACATGCTGTGTCCCCAGGCACAGCAGATCCAGCACCCGCAGGCTCCCTTATCCTCCCGTTACAAGCACAATCGTCTCAGCCCTCCCTCTCTTCAACCATTTCTGTAATCCTTGAAGGAGTCCTAGAATCCTTCTCTGTGTGCCAAGAGGGTGGCATGTTCCTGAGACAATCTGAGGCCTAGTGGGGTCAACAGTGAGCCACACTGCCCCACTGAGGAGACAAAGAAAGAGGAAGGGGAGCTGAAGAAGCAGTTGGGGGGGGGTAAACTAGCTTCCCCTTTCCTATGAGGTGGGCAGTACTGAAGACATAGCCCTGCATCCCAGAACCTCCCTAAACGCCCCAGGCTACCACAGAAAGCAAAGGAAGCCTCCTAGGCCTTCTCACAGCTCCCAAAGCTCTCACAGAGCAGGGCAAGAGTAACCAGTGCCCAGGGATGGTGCTGTGAGAGTCAGTCCAGCCCCAGCTCTGCACCAGGGCTTCCCTGCTCTCAGGAGTTACTCCCCCTACCCAAGGCCTAAGGCCACTTCTGTCTGCACTCAAAGCCCAGTGACTACTGACAAGGTGTGTGCACGCAGGGCTCCACCTAGAGGCAACTGTCAAAAGGTTCCCTGTCCCAGGCCATTCCCACCGCAGGGGCCAAGGCTCCCGTAGGAGCAAACACAGCCAGTGTAACACATGTCCCAGGCGCCTAAGGAAAGGCCAGAGTCCCTCTAGGGAGTCCGTCTAGAGGCCCTGACGCCCCCTTATCCCCCTGAACAATAGGACTGTTTTCTTTTCCTTCGATAAAAGTGTCTGCATTAACAGTTCCCAAGCTCTGCGGTGGGGAGGGGGTGACTGCTGAGCAAGTGACAGCTGGAAATGAAACCCAGATCCTGTCAGCCTGGCAGGAGGTCCCCTCCCCATCCTCCACCTTGGCCACTCATAATGCCCACAGCCTTCTTAACCCCAGGATCGTGGGATTCAATTCTGTTTGGTCACCTGAGAACTAACATGCCAAACCCTCATCTATCTAGAGAGCAGGGTCTGCATCACAGAGATGTGTCCTTGCTCCTTACCTGGCTGGGCTGGTCCAGTCCACCTGCTAGGCCTGGGGAGCTGGAGGGGCAGGCTGAGGGTCACCATGGCTATAAAAGGCAGAATCTCCCACCACCCCCCACCTGCCCTACAGCTTGGCACTCTGGGGCCAGGACCTGTTCATCCACCCACTGGGCCAGTATTCATCAGCCTCTACCTGGAGCCTGTTGAGGACCTGCCATATGCTCATTCTAGGGCAGAAACTGATAACTGGTCCAACCCGGCCCTCCCTGAAGTCGCAGTAAGAGGCAAGTACTATCACAGAAAGAAAAACAGCTAGCCTGTGAAATCATGCCACAGCAAAGCTGAGCCCCCTGGGGAGTCTGGCTGATCCCTGTCCACGCTCAGAGCCAACCTTGGGACTCAGCATCTGCTGAGAAGTAGGTCGGGAATACATGACGACCCGTCAGTGAAATGTGCTGAGTGAGCAAGCCACAGGGAGTGCGGTGGACCTTGCGGGATATATAGGAGTTTGACTAACAGTGAAGAGGAAAACAAGGGCTCTTCCCATCAGAGTCGCAATGAGAAAGTTCTGTGGGTAAGAATCAAGTACAGGCCTGGTAGTTCAGGGGTTGGTTCCCTCCTGGAACCGGCAAACAGGACCATTGGAGGTGACCTCTGGGACAGAGCTAGGAAGACCTAGGGTTTGTGGTTTGAGAGACTCCTCCCTCTCTGGCTCTAGCAGAAGGGTCCTAAAAGGGTCAGATACCGCCATAGCCAACATCCCATCACTGTAAGGCAACCTGATCTGGGCAAAGGACACCCCACAGCTACTCCTGCCTCTGTTCTCTGTGGACAGATGTGCCTGCTTCCCTCTTCATACAGTACCAGGTGGTCAAAGACCTGAGCACCCACTGGACTGCCCTCTGTGAGGCCAAGCCTCCAAGGAGCCGGTGAAGGGCGGATCTTCTCCCCTTACTGCTATCTATAGAGGCCAGATTCCCTCCTTAAGTATGTTTGAGATTCCTCATTTGTCTGCATCAGCTCATTAAATTACTAGCTGTGTGGCTTTGGGTAAGTCAGCCAACTATTCTGTGCTTTGTTCCTCTGTTTGTAAACAGGCATAACTTCATCTGCCTCATTAAGACTGGGGTGACAAGCTGGGCGGTGGTGGCGAATGCCTTTAATCCCAGCACTCGGGAGGCAGAGGCAGGCGGATCTCTGTGAGTTCGAGACCAGCCTGGTCTACAAGAACTAGTTCCAGGACAGCCTCCAAAAGGCACAAAAGCAGAAACCCTGTCTCAAAAAACCAAAGACTGGGGTGTAATCCCAGCACTTGGGAAGCAGAGGCAGGCAGATCTCTGTGAGTTTGAGACCAGCCTGGTCTACAAGAACTAGTTCCAGGACAGCCTCCAAAAGGCACAAAAGCAGAAACCCTGTCTCAAAAAACCAAAGACTGGGGTGACAAATTATCGAAGGGCAAAACCCAGCCAGGGTCATGTGGTTATTTCCACCTCTGGGACTTTACTGAGTTGATCCCTAGGTCTGCTACTGATTCTGGGGAGAAGAGGACTCCACCCCTAGCAAATCTTCGCTTTTTCATCCTTGGACTTAGTGGAGTGCAGGGGGAGCAGGGAATCTTCCCATTTTGTGTAAATATTCTCCAGGAAAGATGCATGTTGCTGTGCTACTTGCTGGCCAAGGCTAACAGCACCCAGCATGCTTCCAGAATGGGCACCTGCTTGTCCTTCCTCTGCCGGGGCACTTTGTGAAGCCTGAAGGGTTCTGGGGAGAGGGGATGTCAAGCCTGGAGACCCAGGTATTGTGCCTGCGATAGGAAGGAGAACCATGAAGTCAGCGCTGGAAGCGCCAGCCAGCCGGGAACCCTGACCCAGTCTCCACCTCGAAGAGGGAGGAAGAGAGTCTGAGGAACTCCCCTTCCCGGAACGATTACCCCACTGCCAGCTTCTACTCTGCACCCTGGGGACTCAGATTCTAAAGCCTGGTTCAGGACAGTCTGTATCATCTACAGACCCAGGGTGCCCTCCTCACATCCACTCTTAGCTCACACCTAGAAGCCCGGCATGTTGAAGGAGAGCAGTGTGTGGACACCCGTGTGTCGGCATTGCTCAGCTACTTTCTGACTAGACTAATCCTGGCTGAGCAGCCAGAGCATGGTGGACACGGTCCCAAGGTTAGTCAAGGTACTTCCCTTATCTTGGGAGCTCCTGCCTCACCCTTGTATCTGTCTGCAGCACCCCCGGGCCTGTGTGAGCAAGTCAGAAACATTAGCCGCCATCTTTGGGCCCTTCAGGGTTGCTGCACCTTCTGGAACACTCGGTCAGCCAGAGGACAGAAGTAAACCACAAAACTGACCTAGATGCTCATCCCTGGAATGTAAGGGCCTGGGGTTTCCAGCACCTGAAGGAGACTCTTGCCAAACTGAGAGCCGCGAGATTTGGAACCTAGCAGTCGGAACTGCTGTGGCCTTAGGAAGCACATGGCTCCCCAAAGGGTTCGCTGGCACTAGAGTCCCTCCCCAGTGGTGCTGCTTGTCCAAACACTGTGCAGTTTCTGGTGGACCTCGGGTAATTGCTTCCTTCGGGTAATTGTTGGTGAACAAAACACCCAGTAAGAGAATAGAGGCCTGAGTCCTGCGGCCCGGTAGAAGCTGGATCCCCATGTAGATTCTGGAGAGGACCGGCAACAAGTGCCGGCCAACAAGTTTCCAGCACCGTGGGTCTCTCGGTTCAGTGGGGCCTGGGCCATCGATTCAACCACAGGACTTGGAACCGGCCTCTAAGCCAACCTTGGGCTGGAGCTCAGAATAGATGAAGGGCGAAGTCTGGGACCTGTGATGGTAGCAACAAAGTTCGAGAGAGTTCAGAGCTGCTGTCCCAGGACCCCGAGCGCGCTCGCACCCACCGCCTGCGTTTGTTTGCGCTCACTGAGGGGTCGCGTCGTGGTCCCCCGACAAGCGGAGCCAGTTCGGGTCACGTGGCATTGCGGCCGGAGCCCTGGCGCTGACCCTAAGGGGAGGGAGGGACCGACTCGGAGAGGGAAGGGGCGGCCCGGCGGGGGCGGGGCGGCCAGAGCTCCCGGGATTCCCTGCAGAGCGGCTTCGGCTGGAGACCCAGTCTACAACTCACCGGTCACTGGATCTCGATCAGAGACGCGCTTTCCTGCCCAGCCGGTAAGGGATTTGGCCGGAGATCTCTCCGCGCGTGGCAAGGACCTCGCTCCCGGGATTCTGCGCCTCTTCTAACCCGGTCATTCCATCCGGAGGAACCCCGGATCTGCCCCTGTGAACGAACTCGGAAAAGCGGAGTTTGCAAGCCGAGCAGCAGCACCTGCCAGGGCGAGCGTGAGAGCCGATGTAGGGGACACAGTGACTCTTCCCTCGACGCCTGTCTTTCTTCTCTGCAGGTCAAGCTCGTGCCGAGCGGGGGGAAATGTATCAGAGCTTGGCGCTGGCCCAGAGCCCTGGCCAGGCCACCTACGCTGACTCGGGAGCCTTTTTGCACGCTTCGGGAGCCGGCTCCCCAGTGTTCATGGCACCCACGCGTGTGCCCTCCATGCTGCCCTACCTGCCTGCGTGTGAGCCGGGCTCGCAGCCTCCCGCGCTTGCCGCACACTCTAGCTGGACTCAGGCAACTGCTGCTGACTCCTCAGCCTTCGGATCCGGAAGCCCGCACCCGCCAGCCGCACACCCACCGGGAGCTTCCACCTTCCCATTCGCACACAGCCCCCCGGGGCCCGGCAGCGGCGGCAGCGCGGGGGCCCGGGACAGCGGCTCCTTCCAGGGCGCGCTGCTGGCTCGCGAACAGTACGCGACCCCGCTGGGGAGACCCATGAGCGCCTCGTACCCCACAACGTACCCGGCATACGTGAGTCCCGACGTAGCCCCTTCGTGGACCTCTGGACCCTTCGATGGTAGTAGCATCCTGCACGGTCTACAGGGCCGCCCTAGTGGCCTCCCTGGCCGACGGGCCACCTTCGGTGAGTACCGGGCTGGGGCTGCCCGGTGGACATGGTTCTAAAGTTAACGCGTGCGGCGATAAACCCGCTCGCTACGAAATGCAATGCATGCGAAAAGTCGAAATGTCAGGGCTCACCCGCCTGGCCCGACCCCACAGATTCCCTCTCAGAACTGCCAGGATACAGGAACCTTTTCGGAACACAGTGCAATGAAAAACATTCGATCCAGAATTCTTTTTTTTTTTTTTCTTTCAGCATAATAGCAAGAAAATTTCTGTTTTACACGCTACCAAACCCCAAAATAGCATTCTGGATTATGTCAATTTGGAACCTACATCCTAAACTTTCCATGGAAAGTTTTGGAAATTTTTTTTTGGTTTTAAGACAGGGTCTTATTACATAGACCAGCTCAGCTTCAAACTTAACGGCGGTTCCCCTGCTTCAGCCTTCCTAAGTGCTGAGCTTACACGCATTCACCATTACACCCGGCTAAAAATGAGTTTTATTACGTTCAAAATACTGATTATTTGAACGAGTCACCACAGCCATCTTGTTCTGCAACACTGGCATTCCAGCTTGAGATTTCCATACCTCCCAGGAACGTTAATTAGATGAGTTTAGATAGATTCCCAAGGTTGTTGAGCTGAGAATTGCTCCTCAAGGTTTCTGAGTATTTTTGAGGCACAGTCAGAACAAAGAGAGACAACTTCTGTTTGCATCCTCTGGGTCTCCTTTAGGCCATCCCTCCAAGAACTGATCCATAGCCCCCTCTTGGCCCAAGCCAATCTAGTGCACTTAGGTAGACAAAGGCAGCCCCTGTGCCTGGTACCCACCTCCAGCCAGTAGATGACTGATCCCACCCACCCCCAGCCAATATTCCATGGCTTGTACATCTGTGGTCCCTGGCTAGACCTGAAGCTGGATGGGGATTCCCTGGTGCCCCTGTGGTCTTGCCTTCTGAGAGAGGACAGTGCTTGACTCCACAGCAAAGCTGACAGCCAAGCCACCAGCACCCTGTAGAATCCCAGGTCTCCATCTCCCAGTCCACTCCTGCTTGGGACCCACTCACACGTGCACAGGACATTCACAGTGGAATGGGAAGGGAGGGCAGAGCCTTTTTTCTCCACTTCCCTCTCCCTCTGCCTATGTAGACACATCTCTCTCCAAAGCTTATTAAAAATACAAAGGCTGACATGGACCCTGGTTAAGAAAGGAGTCATCCCAGGTATCTACCTTAAAGTTTGGTTTATTTATACCCTGCCTTATAAGAGCAGCCCTAACATATTTCACTAAAAACTATGTAAGACTAAGCATATAAATAAATCACTGTTTTAATGAGCACTATAAGACACTATACAAGGAGGGCAGAAGCCCTCGGGCTCCCTGGAAGAGCAGAGGCCCCAGCCCACAAGCTTCTTGTCCCCACAGTACCTGACTTCTTGGAGGAGTTCCCTGGTGAGGGTCGGGAGTGTGTCAACTGTGGAGCCCTGTCCACACCCCTGTGGCGTCGTGATGGCACCGGGCACTACCTCTGCAACGCCTGTGGCCTCTATCACAAGATGAATGGGGTCAACCGGCCACTGGTGAGGCCTCAGAAGCGTCTGGTGAGTGTGGCAGGGAGAGGACCAGGGCTAGAGCTTCCTGGCTTCCTGGGGATGGGGTCGGACTACAGCACAAGGCACTGTGAGCTGCCTGGGGCTCCTGGTTGGGCCAGGCCAACTCCTCTCTTCCTGGAGTTTGAAAATATTCAGGGAGACATCAGAATCCCATCCAGGACTCCTGATGGGGACCTGGCTCAGGTCTTAAAACCCACTGTAGCATTGGCAGGTTACTGGGCACTTGACAGAACAAGGTGTGTTTCAAAGCCACTTGCTACAGGGCCACAGGATGTTCTGGGATCAGGTCTGAGAGTGAGCTCTGCCCTGGGTGCATAAGCCACAGTCTCTGTGGGACCCTGAGGGTTGTGTGCTGCTATGGGATTGCGTTGGTGGTAATAGTGGGTGGCAACCTGGTCGTATCAGAGGCCTCAAGGTGACTGACACAGATAAGGTTGAGGTAAGGAACACTGATCTACCGATAGTGGTATCAAGAAACTAAACGAGAGAGTCTTTGGGTATGTGTCCCTGGGAAGCACTTGCCTGTGCTTTGGGGGGGAGGGGTCCCTAGGAAACTAGGCCTCTCTACCTTTCGCCTATCCTGCTGGCTAAATCTTGTTTTCACTTTTGGTTCTTCTGGTATGTGGCCGAGTAGGTGTTAGTTAGAAGTGAAGCTCAGGCTTGGGCCGCCAGGAGTTGCTGAGGCAGGAAGCAGCTTTGCTCTGCCATCTCACAGGCAAGCAAACCTTGTTCAGGTTGAAATATGTGTCTGGGTTGGGGTTGGCAGGTTGACTAACGTTCTTGCTATAGGGGCTACAGAGGGCTCACGGGGCTCAAGGATCTCAGACCTGAGCAGGGCTGCTCCTGAGTCTCAGGCCCTCCTGTTTAAAGGTGTGGACCCCAGATGAATGTCAGCATCTGCACCTGGGAAGGTGCTTCTCACCAGGTTTCAGAAGGGCCTATACCCATAGCAGGCAGGGGCTGGGGACTGGCTGCCTAGTCCTGCCTGAAATGTGCGTTGCACATGGTTTCCTGAGTGCACTGACTTGGAGCTATAGCTCTGTGCACTCTTATGTTATGGGAATGTGAAGTCCTAAGATGGGGACAACATTGTGAACTCCAGGAAGCAGGTAGGATACAGGAAGGGGCTTCTCTTCCTCTGAGATGGCCTGGGGCTGGGAGATCTGCAGGCCCAACACTTTGCCTCTTGCTTCTGATAGACCACTTAAGAGGCTACTGTGTCCTCTGGTCCCTTCCTTCAGTGATCTGACTGATAATGGAAACTCTCGGCATGTGCCTGACCAACCTGGTCCCCATGACTTTCACTAATGCAGAAACCTTAGATAACTAGAAAGACACATAGCCCAGGAGTGCAGTATAGTCTCCCCAAGCAACAGACCCATCTTGTCCCTTGACTCTGCCCAGTCTCCTCCATGCCAGGCTCTGAACTGGGCACCCAGGCACAGCAATAAACAAAGAACAATCAGGCAAGAGCCCCTGGTCTTCTCTGGGGTAGAAGGGTGGGCTCCCCACAACCCAAACTTATTCTTCTCACCACTAACACCCTTCTCTCAGTTTTCCCTCACCAGACAAGGGACAAATCTTTGACTTAGTCTCCTCAAAGAGAGGGTCCACTTGAAACTGGAGGCATTTCCAGCCTGGACCTATCCCCAAGGCTCCAATTGGCTCTTCACCCAGCCACTCTTGGGTGACTGGGTTCTGGGCTCCCAGGAAGCCACTTTGCAACACTTTGTATGGCAGTTTTCATTTTCCAAAAAGGTTTTCCTGAATATATGACTCGCCCTCCAAGCAGGGCTCCAGCCACCTCCCCTGAGTGTCCACCTTGGCAATTTGGAGGTCCCAGTGCATGAAGGCTGGCACTTGGTACCGCTGTCCCTTCAGGTGAGCAGCCATTGAAGATGAACCTCTCTTGAAAAGAACAGGCAAAAAAGAAATGAAGTGCAGCTAGGAAAGGCTAGCTGTTGGGTGCCCGAAAGTGGCCAGACTGCCTCTACAGACACGGAGGAAGAACAGATGGGGGTGGCGCTGGGGTGTGGCAAACGGGCATATGCCCAAGTGCTCAGTGGAAAGAGAAGGCTCCGTCCACCTGGCTCCTCGATTTCCTGTGGTCCCTTGACATGTCTGAGCTTCCGTTTCCTGTCTGTACGATGACTGGCAGTTCATGACGGTTCAGGAAAAGGCAATGACTTCTTGGGTCGTTATGTTTTCCTATGTTCTTAGTTTGTAAAAGTAAGACATAATCGTAATGAAAAGATTTCAACGTGGCTTCCAGACTTTTCTCTTGCACTTCTGGGGGTGTGGGGATTGGTCTGTGTGGGGATGACCTTTCTTCCTGGGTGCCGTCTGCCATGAGACACTCACTTTTGCTTTTCTGCCCACCATGTCTCAGAAGGTCCCATAGCTCCTAGCTGGTTCATGGACGAAGAGAGGGCACAGGCCAAGGCTCCTTTAGGTCTGAAGATCCGGCAGTAACTGGGAACTGCAAAGTGCCAGGCACCTAGTTAAGTGTGACTTCCATATAAACACAAATATCTTATTAATCATATTCCAAGGGAATATATGTATGCAAAACCCTCGCTGTCCCGTTTGGCTGATGTTCTAGAATTGTAGTTGAATCTGAAGTCCTGAACCATAAAGGGGACAGCTGGGGAGGTATCAGAGGTACTGTTCAAGGGCAAGACCATGGTGGGGACAAACAGTGTCGTCTGATACCAGTAGCTGGATAGTCGGTCTCACAGCAAGGCTGGGCTGTGGAGTTTAGGAAGAGCTTAGGATCCAGGTGCCTAGGGGCCCTTAGAATGGAGCTTTTAGTAGCAGGGAATAGACTCCATCACACACTGAAATAACGTGAGCCATGTACCAGGAAAGTCACCGGTCTCAGGCAGCTCAGAGACTTTGGGCTTGGTGATGTCTGGCTGGTCCCTCTGTGATGACTCCCCAGACACAGCACCAGGAGCTGATTTCTCCCCCCCACACACACACACACACCAATTTCATTCTAGCTCAGGACCCAAGTTCTCCAAACACAGGGAAGTCTGGGGTCCCCGGTGGGATTCACGCGTATGAGATCAGGGTAGTCTGCTGGGAGATGTAGTGGAATGAGGCAGACAGAGAGAAGGATCAAGCAGCCCAAGACCAAGAGATTCTAGACACTGAGCCCAGCAAGGGTGACATGGCAGATAAGACCCTCACCTTCCACTCAATACCCTGTGGGTACTGGGGAAGCTGTGGAGGACTAGGGCTGTCAATGTGTGCTCTGGGCTCTTAGGAGACGGGTGTGCAGGGGGGCCAGCAGGATCCTGAGTTAACCTTTAGCCCTGACCTCCTGAGGAGTCTGTGGCCTTGAGGGCACTGATCCCCCATGGAGATGCTGGATGTAGGTCACCCTGGCTGACTTAGGGTGTTACATTACATCTCAAGGATGGGAAATGCCCAGAGGTCCTGGCACCAAAAGGCCAATGAGTCGAAACTTTGTGGAACAAAGGACATCGTGTCCTGCCAGATAGGTTCATGGCAGGCCTCAAGCCTTCAGCACCCCCAAATGTCTCACTCAACCTGACGACAGCTGGTCACTGCTGAGTCTAGCTTCTATCCATCCTGTTCATTCTCATTTACTGCACCAGAGCCCCCCAAGTCTGAGTTCTGATCCCCCAATTCCTGGGCTCACCCCAGCTAACTTGCTCCACAGTCCTCAACCCGTCGATCTGGCCTCTGCTGCTCCAACTGCCACACTGCCACCACCACCCTCTGGAGGCGCAATGCTGAGGGAGAGCCTGTGTGTAACGCCTGCGGCCTCTACATGAAGCTCCACGGGGTAAGTGGCAGGGAGTAATTACCTCTACCCAGAATCATGTGGTTGCCCCGCCCCTCCCCAGTTAGACAAGATGGCCCTTGGCCCCTGGCTTGAGCATGTTCTGGGAGTGTTACATGTGTGTTACACGTGTGTTGACTGTCCGCACACCCACTGCTCTAGAAGTCCAACCTGTCGCCTCCATGCAGACCTGCCCACTGAGGGTCGTGGAGCTCCCCAGGGCTTTTCAGCCTAGGATGAATGCTAGACACCCAAGTCTCGCCCTCTATGCATCCAGTCGTGCCCTTGGGTGTCAGGCAGATGGGATGGACATCTCCAGGGTGGGACAGGAAGGTGACTGAAAGGGCCTGTGCAAGGACCCAGGGGTGAGCAGGGACAGGAAGCAGCCATCTACCCTTGCTGTCCCTGCAGGTGCCACGACCACTAGCCATGAAAAAAGAGAGCATCCAGACCAGAAAACGGAAGCCAAAGAACCCTGCCAAGACCAAGGGCTCCTCAGGTGCAGAGGGAGCCGGCTGGGGGAGGGGGAGGGAGCTCACTCCTAGGCCTCTGAGTCTCACTCTAACCCCACCCCTAAAGGGTGTCATTCAGCTTGTTAGGAGAAGGGCATACAATATAAGCTGGCCAAACAGTGGGACAGAAGTGGAGTAGATAAAGCCATACCTGACCTTTCTGCCTTTCAGTGCTGTGTGACTTTAAGAAGTCTCTGAACCTCTCTGGACAAGGATAAGAATTGGCCATATGGCAGGAAATATGGTCAGATATGGCACTTCTGTAAATGTCCCCATCTTCCCTTCCAGGATCCACAGCAAACACGGCAGCCTCTTCTTCCACTCTCCACAACACTGAGGGCTCAGCCGCCACTTTGAAGGCCGAGCCCAGTCTGGCATCTCCAGTGTGTACTGGGCCCACTATCTCCTCCCAGGTAAGGGGTATGAGGCAGGGGAGTGCAGGAGATGGGCCTTCATCCCTCCCTGGAGAACCTTGACACTTCACCAACTCAGATCCCATCAGAGCCCCAGGACCTCTCCCCAAGCTTCATGAGCACACAGCCCTCAACCACCAGTGTGGTGGCACCTTCCCTAGGACCGTGCACGGCGTGTTCCAGAGCCTTTGCGTGCTCCTCCAGGGCCTTTCCACCCATTCTAGGCTGAGGGGCGCTTGGAACAATCACATATGGCATGCCTCCATACTCACCTACCCCATCCTGTCTGCAGGCCTCCTCCAGCCCAGCAAATGAATCCCTGGCCCCCAATCATTTGGAGTTCAAGTTTGAACCTGAAGACTTTGCCTTCACCTCCTCGTCCCTGAGTCCCCAGGCTGGCCTCAGTGGGGTCCTGCGTCAGGAGGCCTGGTGTGCCCTGGCCTTGGCCTAGGTACTCAGGAAACTGTCACCATAACGGTGGTTCCCATGGACAGAGCCTGCCAATCTGGCTCCTAGAACAGGAGCAGAGACAAAAGGGTCCCAGGAACAAAGGTTAGCCTCTGAAGCCAACAGCCCCAAGGGTCCCTCACCTGTGGAAGGGAGCTTTTTGCGCTGACAGCCTAGAGGAAGAAGAAGGCTGGTAGGTGAAGAAGACTTGAAGGCTCATCTGGGATAGCATCGGACTCCCCAGACCTGTCACGGGCCCCTCTATAGCTGAGACGACTGGAGATACCCACCGATGACTTGAATGCCATCAACGGTCAACATTTACAGTTTGTAGCAGCTGGCAAAGGTTCACAGCATCCCACAGTAAAATCTGATCCAAGTGAAACAAACAGAGTCCAGGCCAGCAATAAGGAGGAGGGGACCCGACAGGAGGCCTCTGGGGTCTCACGTTCTTAACATCCCATATTTGACTCTGCCGTACTGAACGCTTTTCTTGCCTACAAATGCAGGACTGTCAAAGACGGGCGTGCAGATTGAGCACTGTAGCAAGACACCACCCCAAGGCAAATCATCCCTCTGGCTATCATCACAGACTTCTGTATTTATTTGTAGGCTTGTTTCCAGAGAGGGCAGTAAAAGGCCTGGTTCTGTATACTAAGGTTTTTGCTAACGGGAAGACCCACACTGAGACACTATTGGAATTGGGTGACATGTGGCCTCATGACCTGGCTCAGCTATCATTCCAGCAGTTGGTAACACAGCTCTTTGCAGCATCCTTTTCATACCAGGTCAGGTCAGCTGGCTGTGACTCTGCCCAAAGGGTACAGGTCATTTCTAGGGCCCTAGTACAGGGAGGTGACAGGCAGTGGAAGGAAGATGGTACTGTGTAGGCCACACCTCCACAGGCTGTTTCCTGGCATTTCCAGGGTCCCACACCCAGATGAAGAAACCGGGAGGTAGAGGAGTTAAGGGGGTCACCTAACCATGAAGACCACCCCTACCCTGTCTCCTATGTGGACCCCTGATCCTTCCACCTAGTTCATCTTGAGGCAGAGGCAGTGGGCACAGTTAGAAGGAAAGCAACAGGCAGTAGCCTGTAGCCTCTGCAGCTACCACAGGGCCAAGGGCAGGACGTGCTCCTGTCACTGGCTCTGAGTAGGCATACCTCACCATCCATGTATCTGTGGAAGGCAAAGCCAGCTGCCTAAATGACTATTATCACATACCAGATACAGGGATGGGGTGGAGGGAGAGGAAGGGGACTAGAGACAGACACAGGTGGCACCGTGGGAATGCCTCCAAGCACCCACACTCCAAGTGTGCACAAACGCCAACAAGGCCACAGCAGCTGCATGAGGGCTGTGCACAAGGTCTCAGCACAGGGTCCTCGCTCCCGTGCTGTTTCTGGGCATCTCTTTTGTCCAAGCCCTGGTTTCCCCTTCTGTGACGAGAGAGGTGTCTGTGATCACATCTGTAACCCATGCACCCATGGAGTTACTGTAGTCAGTGGAGGCTCCCAAATTTGGAGATGCCACCAACCCAGGCAGGCTCCTGGAGAGATCCACTGTGAGAAGCACAGGCAGATGGCTTCCCCTAGGATGGAGAGAAAGGGAACTCGAGAGAGAGGGGGACTTGACATAGGAGGTCCCTCCCACTTCTCACTTCTTTTTCTTTTCTTTCTTTCTTTTGTTTGTTTGTTTGTTTTTGTTCATTTGTTTGCTGGTTTGGTTGGTTTTGTTTTTGTTGCTATTGTTTTTTGAGACAGGATCTCACTATGAAAGTCTGGCTGCCCTGGAACTCCAGGCTGGCCTCTAATTCACAGAGATCAGTCGGTCTGCCTCTGCCTTCTGAGTGCTGAGATTAAAGGTGTGTGCCACCACTGCCTGTCTCTCTCTCTCTCTCTCTTTTTTAATTTATCAATTTTTATCTGTGTGAGTGTTTTGCCTGCATGTGCGTATGTGTGTCACACACATCCCTGGTGCTGGCAGGCGTCTTAGGGTCCCCTGGAGCTGGCATTAAAGATGGTTGGAAACCATCGTGTGGGTGGTGGACACTGAACCGGAGTCCCCTTCAAGAGCAGCAAGTGCTCCTAACCACTGAGCCATTTCTCCAGCTCCCTACTTTGTTTCTTAACTAAGGAGATGGCTGAGGTGAAGAAGGCCGTGCGCTCCACCACTGGGCATGGTCACTGCTGCTAAATTTAAGCTCTCTCCTCTTGGGGAGGAAGCCAGTGAACCAATCCTTAATATAGCTGCCGGGCACCACGCTGCTGCCCTTCCTCCCACCACCCACCCCCATCCTGCCCACTGGCCATAAACCACCAGATGAGCAGCAACATATCCACAGGCCAGAGCAACTGGGGGCCTTATCTGAACAGCAGGATGGAAAGGAAGGCCTCTTTGTCTTCTGCCTGCAATGCTCTCTGTCTCCATCCACTTTGAGCTACAACACCCCAGACCATGAAGCAGGAGGGGCCACAGCATCCCCAAGTCTATCCTTTCCTACCCAAAATATTTTCTGGCTCCCATGGCGTGTTCTGGGCAGCCCAGGGAAGGAAGGAGACCCAGTGAGGTAGAGAAGTGGAGCACACGGACAGGCTCACATGACATGCACACAGACATACAGATGGGGAGACCAGGGTCATGTCAGTTGGCATTTCTCCCTCCAGCCGTGGCTCTACGCCTTGCTTTGATACACAGCACAGCACACAGGCACTCCTCGTCCAAGCCAGTATGTTACACGCCTACTGTATCCCAGGGTCTTGCTGCATCTGCTCAGCTCATATCAGTGCGTCCTCTGTATGTGCGGGGTGGAACCTGACCCCTAGATGCTTTGTGGCAGAGCGTCAGCCACCAGACCCTGAGAGCCGTCCTTCACCAGACAACTAACTGTTGAGGACCCTGCCACAATGTTGGACTGGGACCTGAGCTTGCAGGGGTGTGGCCAAACAAAGGGTGATTGTTTCTTAGGCTAAAAAGGGTAGCCTGACACAAAGTAGAGCAAACTCTCCCAGGTGCTCATCTGAAAGCCTAGATGTCTCAGAAGAGAAAACCTAGGGAGAGGAGGGATGTGAGAGACGGTAGTTTCCTATTTGACCAAATAAGGGCATTTTTTAGACCAAACCACTTGCTACTGTCATCATTGTCACGTGCGTCTCTCATCAAAAGACGGAAGGCGCCTGTCACTGGCCATCCACAAGGCCCTTGCTGCTGTCCTTTGTCACAGCCCTGTGGACAGTTCTAGGGGCTCTGGTAGCATTCCCCAACGAGAGTGAACAGGCTGTGGGTAGCGCAGCCTGGGTGGAGAGAAGGTTGAGAGGCTGCATAAAGAAAGGAAAGACACCATGAAGACAGCACAGAATTCAGATCCACTCTCCCTTCAGAGGACGCTGGCTCCACGGTCCTAGTTCCCTGTGTTTTGTTGGACACAGATCTACAGCTAGGGAGTGCCTGGCCCTCAGAGTCCCTCTGGTGCCTCTAAGGGTAGGCCTGGACAGTAGCTGAAGCCAGGCTCCATTCAGCCTTCTGTGGGATCCAGGTAGGGCAGGGACACCATCTAGCAAGGAAACTTAAATGTGTCTGCCCCCACCCTCCAATCCCACCCTTTTGTGTCTTGGAGTGCCACATTATCCTTTATTAATGCCAACAGGTCAACCAGACAGACCCTATCTCCACTTGAGCACCAGAGTCTCTCTGGGCCGATCCCATGTGTGGACTGTGTGCTCCAAGGAACTAAGCCCCTACTGTGCCCTCTTTGCTTCCTCTCCACAGGATGAGATGAGGCCAGAGAGACTTGGATTTGTAGCTGCCAGGCTTTGGACAGGGCAGCCCTGATGCCTTAATTCTCTACACAAACACTTGGATAGGGGCTGACCTGGCCCCAAAGGGGAGGGGGCTGACTAAGCCCTCATGATCAGCCCCCTCCCCTCCAGGCCCCGCATGCCGCCAAGATGTTGACATGGACGGCTCCAGCCGTCTTATTTATTATCTGATAAAGTGAGCTCGGCACCGCTGGTGGACAGCGTCTGGCCGCTCTGAGCTGACCAGCATGGGGGAGGAGGAAGGCGGGCGGACAGAGCTGGGCCCCAGCCTCACCCTAGGACAGGCCTCCACCCTGGACTCTAGGACAGGACACTTCTCCTCCCCCATCTTTGGCTTTTCTTCACTGCTCAGCGTGCCATCTGGGAAGGATCTCCCTGCCTAGAGTGTCACACACACCTGAGGCTGTGCCCCTTTCTGCCAAGCTCTGCTGCCCCAGCTGTGTTCTTCCTCCTCGTGCACCCGTCACCCAATTACTGTGGCTGCCCATCCTCCACACCCTGCGTTTGGGCTAGAGTTCAGACTTTCCATGATGCAGGTTCAGGTCTTCTTCTTTGCCTCCCAGCATTACTCCAAGACCCAACTCGGCACTGTTAACTAGGCCCCCAAGGACACCCCCCAGGGTTCCCTTCTGCTGTCAGCTGCATTCACTCACAGGTACAGGAGACACTTGTCAGCATCCAAACACATCAGACCGCTAGACATTTGCTTCATTCCCTTCACGCTAACGCCCTTCCTGACTCTTGTGGTCTCACCATGACTTGGGTCAGGGTGTTTGGTGCCCACTCACCTCCTCCTTCGGTATTTTGGGGAAGGATTAGGATAGAGTCCCGCAACCGCCACCTCGCTTGGAGGCCAAGTGCCCCAGGCAGCTCTAGAGGCCTCCTGAAGACAAATTATCATAATCACACATACACATCCATGTGGGCCTGGGATGTGACATGGTAAGTTCCCCTCTTGCTGTGAACAAGGTCACATGAGACTACCCCGCACCAGAAATGCCACTCTGGGGTCTCCAACAGACAGATCTGTCACCTGCCTGCCATCCCAGGGCAGATATGCAAGAAGAGGGAATCCAATAATTACTAGAGGGACTGTGTGTAGCTGAGCCCTTAAAAATCAGAGTTCCTAGTAACACAAAGGTATGTTAAGCTTACCTACCAAAAAGGACGGGAAAAATTTCACC